AGATGAAGATGAAGATGAAGATGAAGATGAAGATGAAGATGAAGATGAGGATGAAGCTGAAGATGAGGATGAAGCTGAAGATGAAGATTAGTTTTAAGAGCAAGATTAAATTAAATTAAGTATAAGGGTAAGACCAAGTTTAGTATTAAGATTATGATTAAAATTAACATTAAAATTAAGATCAAGATTAGGATTAATATAAAGATTAGCATAAACCTGAATATTAAGGTTAAAATTAAAATTAACATAGGGATCAAGATTAAAATTAACTTTATAATTAATTGTAAGAAAATGATTGGGACTGGAATTAAGATTAGAATTAAAATTAAGATTAAGATTGAGATTGAGATTAAGTTTAAGATTAAGAATAATATTAAGATAAATGTCTGTTCAAGTAACAGGAAGAACTTTGCTCGTGAGATCCCCGTAAAAGTTTATTAAGGAAGGCATCCATCCTTTGGTCCTGTTCTCACATAATTTTCCACAGTGTAATCTACTATTCCGTTTTGTCCCAGCTCGGAATCACTTTCGAAACATTTTCATAGCTTTTACTCTGTAGCCTGCTCTTGCTTCTTCTTCTTATTATTTGGGACTACAACCGTTTGTCGGTGCGGACAAATGCGGACATATCCTTCTGCACTTGGTCCTTCCATTGTATTCGTGGGTGCCCTTGCTTTCGTTGTCCACTCATGGGTGCGGGGTCGAAGGTCTTATCCCCGTAGCGCAATCGTTTCATTTTTATGCGCTTAACTATGCCAATGTTCGTACAGTTCATCATTCCATCTTTCTCGTCGACCACGACCACCGAGTCCAAGTAGCACCTGCTAGCAAAATTTTTCTTCGCTTTATCGGTGGTGTTAATGTTGGATCTTAATTAAACAAAGTCCGTCACTACTTCAAATTTATGACTGCGAACAGTGACGTGTATCCCTATACGCCATGCAGCAAACCAATAAATGTGGCGGTCACAAAAGCATGCGTAATCTAACTGATTATTTTCCGTATTTTCTTTCAATTTTTAGTACTTATGTTGTTAATCCCACACCTTTTCTTGTTTTTTTTTTCATTTAGCATCGACAACGAAGAATGGCGCGAATGTGAGCAGGAGCTAAAGCGATTCCTTGAAGAAGAACGAGCTAAAATGAAGGAACGCTCACTGCGTGTACCAACGCCATTTACATCGGACAAACTGGATATAATTAATATAGTGAGGGCTAGGTAAGACAATTTTTGTTAAACTCCATTACTGATGGAAAATAAGTACGTATGTAATTACAAGTACACATATGTATGATTGTAAATATATATGTATTCTACCGATATTCGTACAGTACTTAATAACTTATATTAATAGAAGTCAATTGTTCTATTCCAATAAGTTGCGAGCGCCAAAAAGTAAACTATTACTCAAGTTATTTAAGCAGCATGCGTAGTATTTTTCTGATTTTGTTCACATTCCCAGGCATTTTGAAAAACATTAGTTTTGTTTAGCGGGGTTTCAGCCCCGTGATTAGCCCGCCTAGACATTTTTTTTGTTGTGTCCATTATGCTACCACTTAAAGAATGCTTTCCTTTAATTATAACTGCAGGTAATCCGTCTAAAGTTTTTAGGAAAGCACCGGTTGCTCAAAATGAAGTTCCGCAGACAGCTGAGGTCCACTCCAGAGAGCTTCCCGCAAAGGTTAATGAACGAAGTCTCAAGGTGCTTCAACCTTAGTCTTTCGAAGGCAAGGCAGCCAAGAAGGAAATGCTGCGACGAATTCTATGAATATCGGGATCCGAAACGATATCAAGTCATACCGCATAGTTGCCTAATAGACAGTGTCTGGTTAGCACTCCCATTAAGGCCGAGAGTTGTTACTGCAGACGTTTTTTTGACTGCCCGCGTTCTGTCGCGGTGTTCGCACAGTGCTCTATATAGCTAAGTTCTTATAGATATGCAGGATCATTCCACAGGTTGCCACACGAATTTCCATACGCTCTCTGTCGGCAAAGATGGCCATACGATTTCCTACAAAAGTCGTTGTGCCGTCGGACCCAAAGCAGCCAGCTTTGAAGTAGTCCGAGGTGACGCTGGCCAGCTTCGATCGTACGATAAGCGATTCTAGAACCCTGAGTAGGTATTTACCTTTCTTATTCGGATTACACTATTAAGAAGTCGGTCAACCACCTCGTCCACTAATTTCTAAAATATGCTGCAGTTTCCTCAGCCTAAACCTGCGACTAAAAATGAATTTCAGGCAAACCGCTTTCAGCTTAACACCCGTTTTCAACCGATTTGTATATATGTTAACGGAACCTCTCTTCTGGAGGCTGCCACTCTCCCATTCACATGCCTAAGGGATGTGTCTGGTTATGGATCCTATTAAAGCCACTACCGTGCAATGAACTCGTTAAACATTTGACCCCAAAAATGTTTATCCTACTATAATAATTATTGATTCGACTTTCATTATTTTCTCGCATAATAGTTATGTTTCTGGTTTTTATGTATCTTAGGAAAAAATTCCGTGAAGCCGAGCAACGCATTGTGAAACAATTAGAAGAGGGTGCAAAACAAACTCCCAAAGCTACAGATACCAAACTTGGCAAAGAATTGGCTGAGAAGACGGTGAGTAAAAAATGTCATTTATAACTTTTCAAGGTATGTATGAATGTATGTGTGTATATATTTTGAATGAATGAAATACTAAATTAAAGATTTTCGGAAGTTTTGCTTTGATGGTTAGTTTAAGTGGATTGCTACCCTGGTGACAAGCACTCAGCAATTTTTGCTATTTTAATTCCAAAACTCCTCTAAGCAACCGAAAATTTAATAAATTTCAGTACGTCGTGCAGAGAGAAGCAGCTGCACTCTGAAATATTCTGCAGGAATGGTTTGAAGAGTGTGTCATCGTCCTTGAGGGGGCTGGGCACTCGCACAGAAAGTGCTCCAACTTCTTTGATCTGCGACATAAAATATTTACGGGTACACCGATCTATTCAGAATGTACCCCAGTTTCCTGCGCAGACTATCAAGAGTTTGTAGGTATTTTCTTTGCTAATTCCTTAAAAAAAAAAACCTGATTTTAAGTGTGGCATATCACACAAAGAACAGCCGATCCTCTACGGCCCTACCTCTGTGTGGGACACTTTCAGTTCATAGCCGCCCCTACTAGTTCGTCCGCTGTCTAGTTAATATTTCAGGTTAATTTCGTATTGATCGGAAATCCAGGCCAGTACTCTCCAACCGTCATCCTCTATTTTAAATCTAACAGAGGTAAAAAAAAGTGCCTGAATAGCCGCTTGGCTATCTGAGAACATATTTACCTTCGTTCTCGCGGGTGCATTCGCTTTGATTTAAGTTACTGCTTCCTTCATTGCAAACGCTGCATGGTCTAATAGGCGAAAGGATAGCTCTGGGTTAAATTTCTTTAAGAAAGAAACCCACCAATTCGCCAACGCCGCATTCCATTTTCAACCCGTCCGTAGAAACAGTTGAGACCTCCAAGAACTGGGCCCTTTTTTTGAGTCCAGTCACTGCGGCTTGGGAATTTCGTTGCGATAACTTTGATAGTTTTTGAAGTTCCACTTGGCAACTTTTCAATTTATATTAGGGGATGGTCGTTTCCACAAGAAAAGATTCACTTGCCCCTTGCAACAGTGAAAAGCGCATTTTGACTTCTTTCGCCGTCACCTTCATATCTAGGATAAAGCCTTAATACTTGACTTTTACAGAATAAGTAAGTGGAACTGTGCTTTAAGCATCGCCCACACTCCACTCCAGGAGTAATTTTTAAAAGGGGCTCTGGATGAATGCATTCAGAGGTGGCACCTTTATGGTAGCCATTGGCTAAGCATGCCTACCCGCACCCTGAATACATTCCAGCTCATTGCAGCAGCCTACGACAGCTAGAGCATAATTCCTCCAAAGGAGTCACCCAAACTATAAATGGCAAAAGGGTCACATCTTCTGCTACCGCTTCATCCGCCTGCCCGCATATCTTTCTCTCTCTCTCTCTCATACCGAGCATATGAAGTGCGTGGTTGACTTGATGTGGATCTATAGTAGTATAAACCATATGAGCTCAATATTCGTAACAAAGGTAATCCCTACCTCCTCAACTCCTCAACCTGGATCTCAGCTCTAAACCTGATCTCCCACTCTCCCTCAGCTAAACAAATAGGTTTAAATAAATAAAAAAATCATTGTGGTTGTCAAACGAAAGAGATTCTAAAACGATGTATTTCGAAAAAAACATTGAAGATGGTTGCCACCTGTTCAAAATTTTGAAGTCAACATAATTAACAAATTAAATGAAATATTTTTTTCTGGGAATAAAACGAGAGAAGTTAAAGAAGGCATTATTTCGAAAATGAGCGTTGCCACCTGTTTTGGAGGTCAAAATCTGTTTAAGGTATTGAAAAGGGTTGCCTCCTATTTTGTAATTCAAAATCCATGGGATTCAAACGAATGGGCTTTTAGAAAGGTTTATTTCGAGAATATTTTTAAAGACGACTACCACCTGTTTAGAAATTCAAAATCCATTTTATTGGACCTTGGTTAGCTTATGAGCCAAATGTGTAAAAGCAGCAAACAATTTTGCTCTATTTTCTTAATGTTTAAGAGGTCAAGGATTAACTTGTTAATTATAAAAAATTTGTTCAAGCCTTATAAAGGTGCTCATTAAGAAACACAATTTTTTTCTCAAAATTTCTGAAAATTTTTTATAAATTTTTGCCATTTTTCAAACGTCCACAGGCTGTTATACAAAAGCATGTACAAGACATCATACAAGCCGAAGCCGAAGGCGCAGTTGAATCCGAAGGCAAGGAGGTAATCAGAGAACTATCCGACCGGGAAAAAGAGGAACAACAAAGCAGAAAATATTTGGACGATGCTTCAGATATTTCCACCGAATCCGAGGTGCACGAACGCGGCAGCACCATAAGCGAATCGAAGCGACGGCATGCAGCCGAGTTGGAAGATGAAATGGAATTCGATGTAGAGCGTGGCTATCTAATCTCAAAAACACAATTTGAGCAGTTACGTTATCAAGATAATAAAATACTGCAGCTGCAGCAAGCATCGGTAAGGGGAAAATTTGTTGTGGAGGAGAAGAAAAATGTTTGTGTGTATTTTTAAAATTCGCCAATTTTAACAGGATATGCGCGAACTATATCAACTTGCTGAGGAGATTATAATTGGCGAACGCCTCCAAGAGGAGGAGGTGGAGGAGGAAATGGTTGAAGAAGAAGAGCAGCCAATTGGGGAGGAAGAAGAAGGAGAAGAGGAAGCAGAGCCCGCAGATAATAATTTCTAAAGCACAAACACACACGCATACACACCTGAAAGCAAGCAAATATATTGCTGTTGTAAAATTTTACTCGCTCACAGTAAAAAGGGGCGCTTATTAGCTGGTAGCTAAAAGAGTAACAGCTTTTATAATGTCAGACTTAATTAAATGCATACTTTTTTAGCGCTGGCTTAGTGGTGAAATGTGCTTAGTCCACTTTTTAATGAAATTATGACTTTTAAAGAAATTTACGTGAAGGCACAACATTTCTAGGCGTATTTTAAAGCTCCTTCTAACCAAGCAAGCACATTGACTTAGCACTTTTATATTTTCACCTAGCGGTATTATAGAATAATGTACCTCAATACTTGTACACCAATTTACATCATGCTTGTATTAGTATGTGTGACACAAATAAATCAAAAATAAACTTTAACTCTGCAAAATTTATGAAGCGTCAACAAGTGCCTTGTTATTTTATTCGCCGCTTAACGCTACAAATTAGAATAATAAACGGCGAAATGATAAGCATTGTCAGGGGTGCACTTAATTGACATTTGATAAACACGCTATAATCGATGTGTCAATATCAAAATGAAACAACGAAAAATCCGCTCAACTAATTCTAAATCAAAGCGCGTATAAACGCCTAAAAATACGCACCGGCACATGCAACACTAATCTACTCATATGAAAATATTACTTAATACTACCTGCTGCCAGTGACGCGACGACTAAATTTAAGCGCGAGATGTTTTTCTGTGTGTGTGTGTGAATATGGGCGCTCACTAGGGTAGTCCGAAAAATGCATGTAAAAAATTAAAGTCCGAATTTTAATGCTCAAAACTGCGACCGCGGGCGAGACTTTTTAAAGCTCGCTGCAGAGGTTTTATATATATGAGCTCGAAAAAAATTCTTTTTTCCCCATATAAAATACACACACGGACAATTTTGAGAGCTTTGAGCGACCTTTAAATTTTTCTTGATTTCAAAAAACAAAAAAACAGTTTAATTTTTTCCGACTTCACTTTTTTTTTTACCACCCTAGTGCTCACGCGCTATCGCTTTTTGCTATTGCTGGTGGGTGTTAGTCTTTTGCCAGTGGGTGCTTTACGCTCCCTTCATCGCTATGCCCCCCGTCGTATCATAGCGTAAATATCATGTCATATCCTCTCGTATCAGTGTCGCATTTCGTCACAGCTGCTTTGTCAATTACAAAATTTAATCACCGTTGGCGTGTAGGCAACCCCCTGGAATGCCAAGAAGTGGAACCCAGCGCTTGCTACTTATTACACGCAGTCGGTCACCGTCAATAATTACCAAAGGCATTTTAATATGTTAGTGTTAGTGTTATTGTAATTGGTTTTCTATTGGACATGCACTTATGTATCCATGACGAGTGAAAATTGCGCGCATTGAAATTAGTTGTGATTTGTTTTCTTACTATCGACGGTACTAATTCAAATGAATTCTGACGCAATCGCCGTCAGGTAGTGTGTACAGCGACTGGTATTATTCTGGGTGCGAATAGAACACGTTCTTCAGAAATGCATTAACTCAAAATTTCCTTTCATTGTTTGTCTAAAAGCATGAAAAAAAACTATTTATCGGTTAATCACAGAGTAAAGGCAGGCCATAAACTGAAACAAAATCTTGCTTCGGCACAAATAGCAAACTTTCGTAAATGAGTATCTAAATTTTTCAGTACAAAAATCTGTAGTTAAATAATTGCCAATTCTGAGTTAATTACGCACTGTGAATTTGGCCCTTAATGTATTTTTCCATGTTTTTGTGGTACAAAAATAATGTGCAAATGTGCGCTACACGATTACTGAGGCAATCAGATTATGCCCAATAGGGCTTTGAGCCTCACATGCTATTAATATACAAATATTTACAAAAATAAAAAATTAAATAATATGGTGGAATTGTGAAAAAGTATTTTTATTTGTGCATGGACTCGATTTATACAGCCTCACTCACTTTTAGGTCACACTTGTTTGCTGTAGCGCCTACCCAGTCGGACCATGCAGAATGTGGTTCCCCAAGAATGCCTTTTAGGGTATTGGTTTTTTCACGAGAAATTCGAAGCACATTTAAATTCTGTAGGAAAAATTAGAAAAAATCTACATGAAGAAATAACTTTTTTTCACTACCATGGAAGGCTAAAAAATCAGTGTTGCCACTTGAAAATATTTTTAGGTACCAAAACGCCTACCAAATCAGTTTCCAAACTACCAAAATTTTTTTCATCATTAAAACGAGATTTCTGATGCTGGATTTCCATTAGGCATTAAATGGCAAATGACAAAGTCGAGCATTAACAAATAATCGTGTCATTACATTAAAAAAAAATAATCATTAAGTTCATTTCCACATAGTATTTTTTTTTTAGCTACACTATCGCAAGAGGTATCGAAATTTGCGTAATTTTACACATGTTCAGAAAAAGTTAAAAAAGTCAGAATTGTGTGTCATTTTGAGGGCTCTACCATACCATGAAGTTTTCCACGTATTTTATATGAGAAAAAACACTTCTTCGTAGAAATAGAGATAAAATCCTTAAAAGTCAATATTTTTTCAATTTGCAAACTCTTTTTCTCTTAAGGAGAATTCAAAGAATAATACTAATATAATAATAATTTTTTATAGGTCCCCAAAATCCCCAAAATAATTAAATGGGGGAACCATACAAAAATCATTAATATTAAAAAAAGGTTAAATAAATAACTGGATATTATTCTTTGAAGTCTCCTACAAAGAAAAAGAGTTTGCAAATTGAAAAATATTGACTTTTAAGGATCTTATCTCTATTTCTACGAAGAAGTGTTTTTTTCTCATATAAAATACGTGGAAAACTTCATGGTGTGGTAGAGCCCTCAAAATGACACACAATTCTGACTTTTTTACCTTTTTCTTAACATGTGTAAAATTACGCAAATTTCGATACCTCTTGCGATAGTGTAGCTCAAAAAAATTTTTTGACGGGACACCCTAGTGTACATACCTTTGAGATTGATTCAATCCATATCAATTTTTTTTTTTTGTATGTGAGAGCGTGTGTGAATCGGTAACAAAGTTCGCGTCGAGTAAATTTTTGACAACTATGAGGTGAATTAAATTTCAGTAGCTCATGAGGCTAGTGAAATTTTTGACAAATGCATAGAAAATTTTGACAATCGCAAAGATTGTTTATGTGTGTAATTTTTCGTTAAATAAAAGCTTAAATAGATGAATTGCAATCAACGATAGTAGATGCTTTCTTAATATATTAATTTCACTTCAATTTGTAATATTTTATTCCAAATAAATCTGCGGTTATCAAAAATTTACTGCTGTCAAAAAATATTTCATTTCACACAGCAGATTGGCAAAACCACAGTATACAGTAATCCAGATAGGCAAAACAAAAAATGTAAATATGCTTATTTGACAATTTATTTGAATGTATTGGTTGATATTTTTTCACAGTTGTCGTTTTCTTTAACCCAAATGAAATCCAATTTCAATATTTTCTTATAGTGGAAAATATTTCCAAGTAACATAAAATAAAACAACGAGAAAAACAAAATTCCTAGCAAATCAGGCTTGCAGCGTAAGCAATTATAATCGGATGCAGTTCCTCATAAGTCATATCTGGTTACAAGCACAACTTTGAGTGAATAATGGTGGGCTGATTTTGTAAAATTGACCCATAAATTAGGGAGTAAAACAAGTATTACTTAGCTTAAAGGTAGAACTCTCTAATATACCACTATTATAGTGGACATCTGCAAGGTTTTTATGAAATATGTACCCGAAGTTATAAATCGACGCTCGAACTAATGCAGGAAAGGTTTATGCAGATAAGCAAGGCATTTTTCAACGGTATAAGAAGTATATACACATAGTCTTACATACATATTTATCAAAATATTCAGAATGACGAAATGAATTGGTTCAGTCGTGTCTGTTCGTAAACACGCTAACTTGAACAAAATTTAGATATTTTAACGAAAGTCGGTGCCGAAGTTGCCTTTGGTATAATTTAGGTTAGAATTAAATTTTGGTGAAATCTGTCTATAACCACAACCACCTCCCATGTAGTAATCAACAATATTTTTGTCTTATTATTTTTTTTTACGAGTTTCGCTGTTAAAATTTACATTTCAAATATATCAACAAACATTTGGGGGTACTTTTGCGCCCGTCATTGCCTATGGGTTAATGACAAAATAATCCTATACATGCACAATATATCATGTATTAACCCACCAAACAATTTTTGTTGCCGGCAATAAGAAAACGTGTCGCCCTCGGAAACAAATTTATTGTCGGCAATATCGCCATCGTATCGATTTCTTATTACCAGTCGTTCTAAAACGTCCGCCGAAGGCAACTCGCCGGAAACGTTCTTATTACCTGAATGAATCGTTTTCTGATCGCCTTATTATTGCTTCAGGCGATAGTTGGAATAATTTTATTCTTTTGAATACTTCATTTATTTTTTTTTATGCAAAATTGGAACTTAGAAACGGAACTAATTCTTTCTTTCGCTATGAGGCTTCCTATTTTTTCAATCCTGTCTTTGGTATAAATTAGAGGCCTTTGGATAATATTGTTAACGCGAAATTTATAAGTTTGGGAATTTTTGATAACTTATTTATTCCAAAATTGACATGAAAAAATGCTGTTGCCGATTTGTCACCAAGGCAATAAATCGGTGAGTCGCCAATTTGTTGCCATTGACGATTGTTGCCTATTTCTCATGTTTTGCATGGTGGGAATTTTAAAATAAGCATATTGTCAATGGCTGGTTTACTGTATACTGTGGGCAAAACTGTCTCACCATATTAAAAATATTATTCAACAGCTTTCCCCATAGAACTTTGTTACCGATTCACACACGCCCTGAGAAAACAAAATCAGACATTTTATGCATTTCAATAAAAAAAAATGTTTTTAATTTGTTTCAATTTGCATACACTCACCCTTTTTTACCAATACACTCACACTTTGGCTATCACCAATTTTTCTTTCAAGCCGATAGGTAATTTCTCGTTCTATTTCTACAGCTAATCGGTCATAGCTTTGGGAAGTGAGTGAGCAAAGTGAAAGCAGTGTTTTGAACGTGTAAACGCAAATTAAAACAAATTTTAATGTTATATTTGGTTATATTTTCAAAACTTTTTTGCCTACCAAAAGCTTCATCAAACCAACCAAGCTACCAACGGAGAATGAAGAAAACGGAAACGCTGAAAAAGAACCGTACATTTTGGAAGCAACCAAGTCCAACTGGGTACCTCTGTTCATCATAATATGTGCAGGAGAAGCAAAACAGATGAGGAAGCTGTAGAGCACATGCTCTGTGAACAGGGTACGAAATTAAACTGTACAAAACAATTTCCATTTGCTCATCGATCATCATATCATTTGTGGTTTTGTACAGTTTTGTACATAGTCGGAAACAAATTGTAAGATTCACTGTCATTTTCCCCAACGAGAAACGTTTGCTTTTCGTTTGCGACAATTGTACCATAGGGTACGTTTTATATGTATGCAAACGTTTCAAT